TATGTAAAGGCTAAACAACATCGAAGCTAAGACGATTTTTCTATTCATTTTCCATATTTTCGACTATAGATCATATGGGAGCTATATGATATAGTTGTCCGATTTTCATCAAATTTAATTCGTAATTCAAGAGACGTTAGAAAACTTTAAATTTCAAAAATCATGCTTATCAAATAAAAACCAATGATGATATAATTTTATTTCCGTTATCTAATATATAAAATTCTCGTTTCTATATAGATTTTTCAATCTTTCCTATGGCAGCTATAAGATATAGTTGTCCGATTTTTATGAAACTTTTTTCTCAATATAAGGGTTGTTAAAAAACTTGATATTCAAAAAATCATGCTCGTGGGATAAAAAACAACGATCTTATCAATTTATTCCCATTAATTCTATATATATTTTTCGATCTCTTCTATGGCAGCTATATGATAGAGTTATCCGATTTTGATCAAATTTAATCCGAAATTCAATAACAGTTAGAAAACGCCATCTTGAAGAATTCAAGTCGATCTGATCAAAAACAACGGAGTAGGAATTTTTTATTTCATTCTCTCGTATGGGAGCTATCCTATATAGTCGGCCGATCCGGCCCGTTCCGACTTATATACTGCATGCAATAACTACACACTTTTTGGGAAAGTTTCAGTAAGATAGCTTTGAGAGATAACTGAGAGACTAGTTTGCGCGGAAACGGACAGACGGACAGACGGACAGACGGACAGACGTACAGACGTATTCCGACTCTACTCGTGATGCTGATCAGGAATATATATACTTTATGGGGTCTGAGGTGTCTCCTTCACTGCGTTGCAAACTTCTGATTGAAATTATAATACCCTTTTGCTCTGCAAGGGTATAAAAATTTGAAGTAAAAAAAAAGACTTGCGGCTAGCGGCTGGGAAATAATCAAAAAGCAGAAGCAAAATCGGTTCCAAGAATTTTATTGCGGCCAGCAGCTTCAAGCATCGATCGACGAATGTTCTCTCGAGAGCAGCATACAACTTCGCGTAGCCACGAACACAAAAGCTTATCAGTTAGATCACAACAACTCGGCTATGCTCAAGCTTGAGTGCAACTGATAAGCTTTTGTACATTGGTTTAAGGTTTCGTTTGTTTACATTTGGCTGCATATATTCAATCAATTCTTTTTTCATCTATCCTTAAAACTAACAATAAAACTTAATCTACTGCTCCAACAAGGATTTTTTGAGTATCAGGTTTTTTAACCAGTCTTGAATTATATAAAACAAGAAAGGAAGCTAGCTTCGGCAAGCCGAAGCTTATATACCCTTGCAGTCATCAAATATTTCGAACAGAATACACAACGGCTAAACAACATCGAAGCTACGACGACTTTTCTATTAATTTTCCATATTTTTGACTATTGTTCATATGGCAGCTATATGATATAGTCGTCTGATTTTGATAAAATTTAATTTGTTATTCAAGAGTCATTAGAAAACTCGATATTCCAGAAATCGTGATTTGCTGAAGAGAAATAACGATGTTATCATTTTATTTCCGTTAATCTTCTAATATATAAAATTCTCGTGTCACAGTTTTTGTTACCTTACTCCTCCGAAACGGCTATACCGATTCTCATGAAATTTTTTGAGCGTATTGAGTAAGTCTGACAATTACCCAACGTCTATTTTTCATCCTCTTAAATCGTGTTCGACATACCAAAAATCGCATATAAAGTGAGTTTCTACCTCATCACACTGACAAAAACACGCTACCATAGCATTTTAAATCAATTTAAACTGGGGCAAAAATCCTTCATCATTAAGTAAAATCATTAATTCTATTTATGAGTGTTTTGTCCAGTGAGCTATGCCAAGAAAACGCAAAGCGGGTACTTTGAGCCGTGATACAAGTAGATCTCGATACATGCGAAATAGAAGATCGGAAAGAATAGCGCAATTGCATCAAGAAAAGCCAGACGATACACGAGCTGAACGCAATGAAGTCAGAGAAGAGCCAGAAGTTACACGAGCTGAACGCAATGAAGTCAGAAGATTAGAACAACGACAACCACGCCGTGTCACAGTCAATAGACGCATAACAAATGACCAACAACGACAACAGGTACAACGATCATTTTTATATCTAATTCATTCCTGCGTCTAGCATTCCAGTATGAGACCGATAATTGGTGTTAGAAATGGATAAGGAATGTCAGCATTGTCATGCTCTGAAACTTAAAAATGAGCCAGCTGGGATATGTTGCGCGTCAGGAAAAGTGCAACTACCAGAAATTGAAACACCACCTGAACCATTGAACGGCTTACTTATCGGCACGGATCCAGATTCTAACGTGTTCCTGAAGTCAATTCGAACATTTAATTCATGCTTTCAAATGACATCGTTCGGAGCAACAGAAATAGTTCGAAAAACTAATGCAAATGGTCAAAATTACAATTCTACATTTAAAATTAGAGGCCAAGTTTATCATAAAATGGGCTCACTGCTGCCAATGCCAAATGAACAACATAAATTCTTACAAATCTACTTTATGGGCGGAGAGGATTCCGGAAGCGCACTTGCTAATCGCGTGAATGCACGTTGTGATTATAATAACCTTTATTCATTTTATTCCAGGCGCAATTATAATAACTTAAAAATAATATTTGCCTTTTGTTATTTTTATATTCCCTCATGGTTTATAGCGCTCCAGATGACTTTATAAGTCTAGAACTAAGTAAATTTTGTAGAGAAATTATAAAGTCATCTGGTGGCAAAACAACGTTTGCCGGATCAGCTAGTTTTATATAAATCTTTCGATCTTTCCTATGGCAGCTATATGATATAGTTGTCCGATTTTTATGAAATTTTTTTTATAAATCAAATTCAATATTAGTTAGAAAACGCCATCTGAAAGAAATCAAGTCGATCTGATCAAAAACAACGGAGTTCGAATTTTTTTTCAAACTCTCGTATGCACAGTGGTCGGGCTTGTATGGAACCGCGGCCATAAATACTTCTAGATGTGCTATCGCTATGAAACTTTCAAAAAAATCTATAAAAATATTATAAATACATTATAAAAAAATAGACCGGATCGTACCACTATATCCCATAGCTTCCATAGGAACGATTGGATCAGTGGTGGCGCTTTGAAGAAAGAGCAGTCCTAAAATCACTTCTTATGGTCAGATCAGGCTAATATTAATACTGTAAGTTATTTACAAGCGCTTCACTCTTGTCAACAATATAGCCGTTTTTTATAATATTCGCTTCTATACCTTTAATCAATTTTGTTCGCCTTTCGACGGCGTTACCCTCTTCGCTGCACACTACATTAAAAACGTATAAACGTGAGAATACACACTTATAAGAACCTATTCAATTTTTAAGCAAGGGAATAAACAAAAAGAAAAAAGAAATAAAATTAAAAAGAAATCAATATATGAAAAACTTTTGATAACATAAACACAAACTCAAAACAGAGCAAGACGAAAAACAGCACAACAAGCCCACGAGCGAAAACCAATTTTTGTAGTGCAAAACTGACCCTGAAAAAGTTAAGACGGTGTTAGAATTTTGACGATTTTAAGCACATCTGCAAATTTCTGCAAAAAAACACATTTATTATCTTTAGAGCCAGGCAAACACATTGGTATACAACTTATTTGTGGATTTTTGTGGCGTCACTACTAAAACTTTAGCTAATCATAAAAAAGACGTTCGAAATATAGATAAAAAACATGTACGGGAATGTTGTCAGGGTTGGGCCATTTTTTTTGCCTATGTCCATAAGTTCTGAACGAATGACAATTCAGAATAGGTTTATACATTTTTGGAAAGGTACAAGTAAGAGAAAGTGTTCACCAAAAATAGGGAATAAAAAACCAAAACCAAAAAAAGTTATAGGCGTTTGAAAAAAAAAAATGTTGTCAGCGTTGGGCCATGTAGTCAGTGTTGGGCCACCTTCAGAAAATCGTTGACAATATCGTAACGTGGTGGAATAAAATTCAATTCAGGTAAATCTGACATTATTTTGTTCATTTTGGATTTTACAGTCAATATCAAATTATTCAGAGTTGTTTTTTCGTTTGTAAGTGTTTCTACACTAAAGAAAAAGATAAAAATGATTCATCGAAATATTTTTTTAAGTTTTTAAGTTCGGTAATGCCGCAGCCTAAATCAAACCACTAATTTCAAATAAAAAACCAAATTCTCGATGTTCTCCTTTTCTTTTGCTATTTGCCCTGCGCGGCAACACTGTTTTGATTGTCATTGCTAACTACCTTTGCACTTTTTCGCTTATCGCTTCCTGGCCTTGTCCACGGCAAGCTTCATGTAATTCTATTCGTTTTCGCTTACAAGAATGCACGGTCGCTGATCGCCTGCCTATGTATGTATATACTCTACGGCTATATACTCTTCGCGTCGTTTAAGGCACAGACAAATCGGTCTGCCTGCCCAACATAACTTTATACTAGTTCGAATCTGTACACGCTTACACAAGGCACGATCGCTGATCGCCTGCCAAATCTCGGTTATATACTTTCGTCTAAAGCACAGACAAATCGGTCTGCCTGCTAATATACTTTCGCTAAAGGCACAGACAAATTGGTCTGCCTGCTAAAATACCCTTTCGCTGCAAAAAAAGGCACAGACAATTCGGTCTGCCTGCCTAACTAAATCTACAACAAACAATAACTCTTTGAATTTAAGGCCTTGGTGCCAGTAATAAATAAGTGCATTATTTAAGCTAAAATTTGTGCGTTTTATTTACTTGGGCACAAGGTAACGGTTAGTAAAAAGCTTACTGACCCAACATTTTGGTGACCCCGACGTGATAGTGCAATAGAAATTGGAACCATCTAAAACTAAAGTGCAACCAAACAAATAATTTATTATTTTCGTTTCGGTTCTCTTTGATTATCTTTGATTCTGCTGGAGCTTTATCATCGATAAGCTATGAACATTCACGCTTTCAAGTATTTGTTACTAATCAAATATCTTTAATTCAGAAGCTATCCAGTGGCATGAGTTGGCACTTCGTTTTGACTGACTGCAATCCAGCCGACAATTTGAAAAGAGGAGCTTCCCAGAGTGAGCTTCTGGATTCTGCCCTTTGGTTCAGAGGCCCAGCGATCCTTCTCAAGAATCAGCACGATTGGCCTGAATCTTGTTTGCCTGAGAAGACTCCTCCCGACTTCAGAAAGGGCATTTTGGTTGGCGTCTCTACCAAAGTGGATCTACCCTTAAAACGCAATCTCGTGAATTCCTGTCAAAAGATGACCCACACTTTCGGATTCGAATACAAATTTGCACACCGTAAAAGACGTCCTGGTCTTGCCGTCAAATATGTCAAGATGGGCACTCAGATGTTCATCAGATGTATCCAAATGAGCAAGCTGGCTGATGACTACTGGAGACTGCATTCTAAGCAGCAAATTTCATCATCCAGCCCGTTGTCCTCTCTATTGCCATTCATCGATAGCTTCGGTCTGATGCGAGTTGGTGGCCGTCTACAGAATTCGTCCTTGGATTACAATGCGCAGCATTCTGTCATACTGCCACGCCAGCATCCAGTTACACGTGCCATTATTCTGGACTTGCATCGGAGGAACTTGCATTCTGGTCCACGAGCTCTGCTTGCTCACATGCGCCTTCAGTTTTGGCCATTAGGTGGCCGCAAAACAGTGTCAGCTGCAGCGTCCAAATGCTTTATTTGCTTTCGTGCCAAACCACTGCTTTCTCAACACATAATCGCTGACTTGCCCAAGGATCGTGTAAATGCCACGTCTACGTCCATGGTTACTGGTCTGGACACCTGCGGTCCATTTTACTACAAAACCGGAGTTCGAAGCAAGGTGCCTGGGAAAACGTACGTCTGCGTTTTCATCTGTTTCGCGACGAAAGCGATGCATCTGGAGCTTGTCCAGGATCTTTCGACATAAGCATTTTTGGGAGCACTGAAGCGGTTTTTTCTCACTAGAGGCAAACCTGTCCGAATATGGTCGGATAATGCCACGAACTTCGTTGGAGCCAAGAACGAGCTAGCTGAGCTGAAGAATCTTTTCTTAGCGAGCCCCCACATTCGAGCGATTGAAGAATTCTGCCTGGAAGATTCGATTGAGTGGCGTTTTATTCCCCCTCGTTCACCTCACTTTGGAGGTCTCTGGGAGGCTGCAGTAAAAACGGCCAAATTTCATTTCTACCGTTCTGTTGGCCCATCGTTATTATCGTTCGATGAATTGCGCACTCTCATTTGCCACATTGCGGCGATTGTAAACTCACGGCCTTTACTCCCTCTTTCAGAGAATCCGGCAGATCTTGAGGCGCTAACTCCTGCACACTTTCTTGGCACAGTTCCACTGGTGTTGTACTCTGAGCCTGACGTCACAAAGCTGATCTTCAACCGTTTGGACCGCTGGCAGAGAATTTCCTACTTCCAAAAATCTTCTGGTCACGGTGTCGTGAAGAGTACTTGACCCTGTTACAGCAACGGTCAAAGTGGCGCACTCCCAAACCTGTGCTACAAATCAACGAGGTCGTCTTCACTCTGCCGCTATTTAAATGGCCATTAGCCAGGATCATGGAATTGGTGCCTGGATCTGATGGAGTTGCTCGTGTGGCTCGGATCTCTCGAAGGGTTGTCCGCAAGCTGTGCGTGCTGCCGAAGCTGGATCTGGTTGAAAGCCCTGGTCTTCCAACGGGGGGAGTATGTTCGGGCATGCCGCAGCCTAAATCAAACCACTAATTTCAAATAAAAAACCAAATTCTCGATGTTCTCCTTTTCTTTTGCTATTTGCCCTGCGCGGCAACACTGTTTTGATTGTCATTGCTAACTACCTTTGCACTTTTTCGCTTATCGCTTCCTGGCCTTGTCCACGGCAAGCTTCATGTAATTCTATTCGTTTTCGCTTACAAGAATGCACGGTCGCTGATCGCCTGCCTATGTATGTATATACTCTACGGCTATATACTCTTCGCGTCGTTTAAGGCACAGACAAATCGGTCTGCCTGCCCAACATAACTTTATACTAGTTCGAATCTGTACACGCTTACACAAGGCACGATCGCTGATCGCCTGCCAAATCTCGGTTATATACTTTCGTCTAAAGCACAGACAAATCGGTCTGCCTGCTAATATACTTTCGCTAAAGGCACAGACAAATCGGTCTGCATGCTAAAATACCCTTTCGCTGCAAAAAAAGGCACAGACAATTCGGTCTGCCTGCCTAACTAAATCTACAACAAACAATAACTCTGTGAATTTAAGGCCTTGGTGCCAGTAATAAATAAGTGCATTATTTAAGCTAAAATTTGTGCGTTTTATTTACTTGGGCACAAGGTAACGGTTAGTAAAAAAGCTTACTGACCCAACAAATTTGTTTTGCATATTTTTGCTACAAAAAACATAAATATTACAACAAAAATCGAAAATACACAATTAAAATGTACAAATTTTGATGGCCCAAGCCTGACTACAAAAGTGGCCCAACCCTGACGACATGCGGTATTAATCTATTATGGTATGATATAGCCAAACTATATCTATCAATGAAACTATATCTTAGTATTTTGTAATATAACACCTATATAACGTATTTTTATGTTCACTTTGCGGATGACATGTTGTAATCTTGTGTTATTCCACCTTATCGGCCAGGTTAAAAAAACTTTTTCGAGCATTTATTTTTCACAGGAAAACGACACGTAGAAAAATGAAATCCCGAAATAAGTAGTCAGGTGGAAAGTTTCGAGTGACCGATAGAAGTTTCTAAACACCCACAAACAGAAGGTACTAGAACGAATTTTCGAAATATTGAGATGGCCCAACTCTGACAATGGCCCAACCCTGACAACATTCCCCTATTATTTCAAATTTATATAACAAGAACAGTTTAGCAAGTATGTTTTTTTATAATATCTCAAATTTTAGAAAATACCTTCAACTTTAAAATCCATTACAAATATTTTAAATTTGGACACGTAATAAATGAACTGACCACTTGAAAGTTCGGGTTTGCTATGAAATGTTCGCAATGCGCGCAAGCTGCGCTGTGTAAATGAACACCTTCTTACAATTTTAATTTTATTTTTAGAAAGAAGCGTTAGATTTACAGAAAAATATAGTTTGCCATCAAGAAGCTTGGACAATTTAGAAACGATTTGTTTACCTACTTTTCGTACATTTTTGTTGTTATGACTTTTTTTATTTTTGGCCTATGGGCGCAACCACTGTGGTATGGGAGCTATCCGATATAGTCGGCCGATCCGGCTCGTTGCGACTTATATACTGAGTGCAATACCTACACAACTTTTCAGAAAGTTTCAGCACGCTAGCTTCAAAACTGAGAGACTAGTTTACATAGAAACAGACAGACGGACCGACGGACAGACGTACATACATATTTCGATTCAGATGGTGATGCTGATCAAGAATATATATACTTTATGGGGTCTAAGGTGTCTCCTTCACTGCGTTGCAAACTTCTGACTGAAATTATAATACCCTTTGCTCTGCAAGGGTATAAAAATTCATAAAATTCGGACAATTATACCAAATAGCTGCCATAAGAAAGATTGAAAAATATATATAGATTTAATGGAAATTATTGGAAATGTGAGTGCTTTATTTTAGAGTTATTGGAATACATAAAATGTAAAGTAGTTTCCTGGCTGGGATATGACTCAGTCTGTCCAAGATCGCTTACAGAAAATTTATATCTGCGGGACTATCGGAAATTTTGATAGAGGGTGAACCGACGGAGATGGAGGGATCGGGCTCACGGTAGTGTGGGTTGCAAAAAGGCGGAAAATATGGGGAAAACAACTGAGGCTGGTCGCCGATAGCAGTTGCCAGGGTAACGGGTAGCGATGCGCTCACGGGCACACAGAGGCTGTGATCGCCGGAAGCGGCACACACGCGGGAGCAGCGGCAGGATGCCGGGCTGCGGTCACCGGGGTGCACGCAGGGACGGGGCGTGGCACGCAAGCGGGAGCAGAGGCTGGACGCCTGGCTGCGGTCACCGGGATCCACGTGGGGAAGGGGACGTGGCACTCAAGCGGGAGCAGAGGCTGTGCGCCTGGCTGCGATCACCGGGTTCCACGTGGGGAAGGGGGCGTGGCACGCAAGCGGGAGCAGAGGCTGTGTGCCTGGCTGCGATCACCGGGTTTCACGTAGGGCAGGGAAAGGGGCGTGGCACGCAAGCGGGAGCAGAGGCTGTGCGTCTGGCTGCGATCACCGGGTTCCACGTGGGGAAGGGAAAGGGGCGTGGCACGCAAGCGAGAGCAGAGGCTTGTCGCCTGGCTGCAGTCACCGGGTTCCACGTGGGGCAGGGAAAGGGGCGTGGCACGCAAGCGGGAGCAGAGGCTTGTCGCCTGGCTGCGATCACCGGGTTCCACGTGGGGCAGGGAAAGGGGCGTGGCACGCAAGCGGAAGCAGAAGCTTGTCGCCTGGCTGCAGTCACCGGGTTCCACGTGGGGCAGGGAAAGAGGGGCGTGGCACACAAGCGAGAGCAGAGGCTTGTCGCCTGGCTGCGATCACCGGGTTCCACGTGGGGCAGGGAAAGGGGCGTGGCACACAAGCGAGAGCAGAGGCTTGTCGCCTGGCTGCAGTCACCGGGTTCCACGTGGGGCAGGGAAAGGGGCGTGGCACGCAAGCGGGAGCAGAGGCTGTGCGTCTGGCTGCGATCACCGGGTTCCACGTGGGGAAGGGAAAGGGGCGTGGCACGCAAGCGAGAGCAGAGGCTTGTCGCCTGGCTGCAGTCACCGGGTTCCACGTGGGGCAGGGAAAGGGGCGTGGCACGCAAGCGGGAGCAGAGGCTTGTCGCCTGGCTGCGATCAGCGGGTTCCACGTGGGGCAGGGAAAGGGGCGTGGCACGCAAGCGAGAGCAGAGGCTTGTCGCCTGGCTGCAGTCACCGGGTTCCACGTGGGGCAGGGAAAGGGGCGTGGCACGCAAGCGGGAGCAGAGGCTGTGCGCCTGGCTGCGATCACCGGGTTCCACGTGGGGCAGGGAAAGGGGCGTGGCACGCAAGCGGAAGCAGAGGCTTGTCGCCTGGCTGCAGTCACCGGGTTCCACGTGGGGCAGGGGAAAGAGAGGCGTGGCACGCAAGCGGGAGCAGAGGCTGTGCGCCTGGCTGCGATCACCGGGTTCCACGTGGGGAAGGGGGCGTGGCACGCAAGCGGGAGCAGAGGCTGTGCGCCTGGCTGCGATCACCGGGTTTCACGTGGGGCAGGGAAAGGGGCGTGGCACGCAAGCGGGAGCAGAGGCTGTGCGTCTGGCTGCGATCACCGGGTTAAACGTGGGGAAGGGAAAGGGGCGTGGCACGCAAGCGAGAGCAGAGGCTTGTCGCCTGGCTGCAGTCACCGGGTTCCACGTGGGGCAGGGAAAGGGGCGTGGCACGCAAGCGGGAGCAGAGGCTGTGCGCCTGGCTGCGATCACCGGGTTCCACGTGGGGCAGGGAAAGGGCGTGGCACGCAAGCGGGAGCAGAGGCTGTGCGCCTGGCTGCGATCACCGGGTTCCACGTGGGGCAGGGAAAGGGGCGTGGCACGCAAGCGGGAGCAGAGGCTTGTCGCCTGGCTGCAGTCACCGGGTTCCAGGTGGGGCAGGGAAAGGGGGGTGTGGCACACAAGCGAGAGCAGAGGCTTGTCGCCTGGCTGCAGTCACCGCGTTCCACGTGGGGCAGGGGAAAGGGGCGTGGCACACAAGCGGGAGCAGAGGCTGGACGCCTGGCTGCAGTCACCGGGTTCCACGTGGGGAAAGGGCGGATGGGACCCTGACATTTGGAAATGGCTGCCGGCTCTAACTACTGGGTACGGGAATTAAATATGCAAGCGAAGGTTGGTTCAGTTTTATGTACACGTGTTTATTTAATTGTGGTAAAGAAATGGTCCCTGCCTATACCGCACTCCTGTTTCTTAGCACTACTCACTCATACAGATTTTTGAGAGCTCGGGGCGGGGAAGTCGACGTCCTGGATGCTGTAGCGGGGCCTCGTTCGACGGTGGTGTTTCGCTGGCGTGTGTCACAAATGGCGGCGCGGAGCCTGCCACGCGGTGCGGTGCGCGGCGGGGTCGCGGTGTGCGAGGTGGGCGGGGTGTGCGAGGTCTGCCGCTTCGAGGGCTTGGTTCACTTTTCCCGATATTTCCGAAGGGCCTGGCACGTGGTCCAGAGGTTTGCAACGCAGAGCCGTGTCGAAACGGGTGCCGAAATTGCGTGTATTCGCGACTGATCCTCGACGATGATGGAGCGGGGCCTCTTGCCACGTGGTTTCTGATCGCGTGCCGTTGCGCAGAGCCGCTACGAGCGGGTGCCGAAAAATGTGTCCTTTCCAAACTGGGCCTCGAAGATAATTCCAGAAGTAGGTGATGAGCAGGTGCACTTTCGCGGATTCCGGATTTAGGATTGTTTTCCACTTTCGTCGCGAGACTTGGAACGGGGCCTGCCACGTGGTCCACTGACGCGGAGCGCAGAGCCGTGTCGAACGGGTGCCGAAAAGTACGTCTGATCTAATCTGGGCCTCGGGGATACGTGATTTCTCTCCCTCGCCAAAACTAATAACCAGCCAAAGTTCTTGCACTCTGCTACAGTCCTCTGCCGCCGTCCTCTGCTCGCACGATCGGCGCTTGCATATTTTAATGCGTATCAATCGTCTTGCCTACGCTCTCATTGGCTTAGCCGCCCTCTGCTCGCCCAAGCGGGGCCTGCCTTTTTTATGATGTAAGTGCAGGTCGCGACGTAATTTTGGGCTTCGGCGCTCGCTCCGCTGCCCTCTGCTCGGCTAGTCGGCGCCTGCGCTGGTCCACGCAATTGCGTTGTAGACTTAGATTTGCGGTTGTTTTCTCTGGTTCTGTCGTTCTCTCCCCGCCGTCGTACTCTCCCTGCTTAGTGATGCTCTTGTGGTTAGCTTAATTCTAGTCTTATTTATTATTCAAAATTAAAGTGGAAAACTTAGAATAAGGGGAAAAAATTGTACGGCCAATTCGGGCCGCTACAAAAAGAAACACGTCCGCTCGTTGTGAAGTTACAAAAGAGAATCAAACTTAGAACTTATCGATCTACAGTTGCTCGCAGACAACAATCGCAATCAGCTGACAAACGGCGTTGCCCTACTATTTCATATTTCTAACACTCCTTCTCAACGCTGTATGTCATTTTACAAGATAATCATTTACAACAAACCCATCATATTAATAAATTTCATGTGCTTAAGCTTACTTAAATTCTTCGTTAACACATCTGTCATCATGTTTTCTGTTGATACATACTTCAAATCTATAATCTTTTCCTTAAATATATCTTTTACATGATGATACCTGTAAGGATGTTTTCTCGTACGGGGTACAAATCTCAGTCGAGTACCAGAGTCCTTTACAAGAATATTTGTAAATCACCGAAACACCGGACTAGGGGGTTCCGCTCCGCGAGGGAACGGTCGATTTCGAGGGAGAGTCTCCACCGGAGGTGGGAGTGAAGGAATACGCAGACGACTTTAATAACGCAGGATCCTGTTCGTGGGCTGCGATTCCTTTGTGTTTCGCGTCGAAAATTCACCGGGCTGGACCTTCGGGCGAGGCCAAGCCGGGACAATACTTTGCGGATGTGGGAGCAGGGTGGCTGGATTGGCGGATCCGGCGGGAAGGGTGTCCACGCCCGAATCTCTAACTACGGTTAGTCGGGAATCGGATCCGGCGGGAAGGGTGTCCACGATCGAACCTCTAGCTACGGTTACCTGGGAGTCGGATCCGGCGGGAAGGATGTCCTCGCTCGAATCTCTGGCTACGGTTAGTTGGGAGTCGGATCCGGCGGGAAGGATGTCCCCGCTCGAATCCCCGAACTACAGAGGTGGGGGGTTAGGTGAGGTTAGGTTTGATCCTGAGCTACGCAAGGAAAAACACACACTTCGTATATATTTCACAATTTATTCCATATCACTTCAATAGAGTCCGCTACACCGTCGTAAACACGTGTGAGCCTGGTCGTACTAACCTCGACTATCTCGCTTTCAAAATGCTCTGAGCCTCGTTTACCAACGTCCCCGAAACACCGCGTGGATCTTGGCCAACTCTCACTGTCGTCATGAATTTTACCGGGAGTCCGAGGACGGTCGCGTTAGGCGTCGAAGGTGGCCTATCCCGCGATCCTCTGCCGGCGAGGAGGAAAACTCGAGGAGCGCACGTCTGCTCCGTACCACGATCCCGGAAAAAGCGGAGTTCGAGAGACATACGTCCGCCCCGTTCCGCGAACCCGAGAGAAGAGATCGGGGAAACCACGCTCCCTCTCTGCGTGACCCTCTTCCCCCTTTTTCCCGCATTCGGGATTTCTGGTATTTTCCTACTGTCGAAATCCTAACTCTTTTGCGTATCTAGTATTTAAGGTGTCTCGGCTAAATATCGGTAGGCGTTGCCACCCCGGACTTGGATCTTAGCTGTAACTTCTTTATAGTGGTTGTAACTTAATATTTAATATAATTCACGATAAGTCTCTTAAGACTAACTTGGTTATGGTTATGATTGTGGCGTACCCGCCTTCTAGGTGGGTTCGTCACCCCCCCCTTTCTTCCCGCGGCGCGATGAAGAGGTGTCCGTCACTCTTGATAGTGACGGTATACCCGTAGGCTCCTGTCCCGATTGCTATCCGCACTCGACTTACTGATAGCCCTACCTTCCGAACCCCCTACCTAACGGTGTAGCTAACAAAGGACTCGTTAAACTTAACCTATTATAAGTGTGGTTCTGGCTCCATGGTTTTGGGCGCTTACCGAGCCGGGTTAATCGGCCTGGCGTTGCTGTCGTCGATCGTGTCAGGGGTATCCGCCGCGTAGTAGGGCTTGACCTGTGATATGTTGGCGATCCGCCGCTGTCGATCTCCCGAGCGCTGCAGTCCTACCAGGTTCGGAGAGGTGAACTTCACGACGGTGTAGGGACACACCATTCGCGTCTCCGAAGGTTGTAGTGCCTCGCCTGCTCCAGGGATGCCCGTTGAAGGTTCGACCGCACGATGTCGAAGAGTTCGCTCACGACCCGGGTTAGCATTTTCTCTGCAGCTTTGGTCCGATCAGTCTTGAACTTCTGGCAGGGCTCGCAGCGCCGCACGTGGTGTTTGGCGTCGCGGTACATGCCGGGACAGAAATACCTCTGTGACAGACGGGTGATCGTCTTTCGGACCCCCAAGTGCCCTGCAGTCGGGGAGTCGTGGCATTCGTGTAAGACGCGAGCTCTATGGGGAGTGGGCACGCAGAGCTTCCACGGGAAGTAGTCCTCGTCGTCCGCTCGGTAACCCATGTTCTTATAGAGCTGGCCGTTCTCTAGTGTATCCTCGGCGAACTTCTCAGGCTCGTCGCGCACCTTCTCTTTCATCTTCTTGATCCATTCGTACTGGTCCTCGAGCTCGACTGCTCCTTAGAGTACGTCGCGGGGCTGTCGCGAAAGTGTATCGGCTACGACGTTCAGCCTCCTTCGTCGGAAGCGCACGTCAAATTGGAACTGTTGAAGTTCCAATGCCCAGTGCGCTATTCGGCCGGAAGGACTCTCGATGGAATTCAACCAATTGAGGGCCAAATGGTCGGTAACGATCGGTAGCCCTCCAGGTAACACCGCATCTTCCTGATGGCCCAGATAATGGCCAGACACTCTTTCTCGGTCGTCGTGTAATTAAGTTCTGCGGGGGTTAGTCGGCGGCTGGCGAATGTGACGATCTTCTCTTGTCCCTCGATGTCCTGAGATAACACCGCTCCCAAGCCGACGTCACTCACGTCAGTCTGCAAAATGAACTTCTGGTCGATATCCGGACAACCCAACACGGGGGTAGTGGTCAGGCATCTTCTAATTTCTTCCAATGCAGCTTGCTGTTCCGGTCCCCATGTCCACTTCCGACCTTTCTTCAGCAGCGCGGTGACTGGTTGTACGATGGTCGCGAAATTAGGAACGAATCTCCGATACCTGGATGCCATCCCGATCCATTGGCGGACTTCCTTTTGGTTGGTGGGCGCCTTCAACCCCTTAATCGCGGATACCTTCTCTGGGTCTGCCTGGGCTCCTTCGCCTTGTTCTTCCGCCTCCGTCCCAGCAGATGTCTCGGCGTCGGTTGGTATTGTCGTGGCTCGTTCCGGCGTGGTGCCAGGAATCTCCGCTTCTCCTTGTCTGGCAGTCCCCAATTGGACTCTAGGCTGGACAAGGTGTACTGCTTCTCCTCGTTCGTCTCCCCGGGGCATGAATACCGGGGTTAACAACTGCTCTCCTACTACTTGGGATTCCGGCCGCAAATCGAGGGTGGCTTGCCCGCATTGCAAGCGCGTTCCTGCTGCTTCAAGGAAGTCCATCCCAAGTATCACTCGATCCACCATGGTGGGCATCACCAACATGGGTAAGATTACTGTGGTTCCCACCAACGTGACCGGTTCGCCACGACTTCGTCACGTCCAGACATGGCCGATCGGCCAACGCTATGCTAGTGACCACGTCCCGAACCTCGCCCGCACGGGCGACCAGGTTCGTAAAGCTTTCGCTGGCGAAACTCCTCGATGCCCCCGTATCGACGGTGGCGTCTACCCACTTTCCTCCGATTTTGATCGCGGCCGTGATGAGCCCACCGTGTATTCTTAACGGGGATTTGGATGGGGTCGGGTCGCTGCTTCGTGTGTCTCCGCCGTACCGACCGAATTCCGACGAAGACGTCCTCCGTTTCCCGAGGCATTTTTTTCTGTGTTGCCTATATTTTGTGTGTGTTTTATTGACCGGTCCACCTCCAGCACTACCCGCCCCTGTCCCCCACATATACAGTCGACTAGTACACTTGAATGGGCATTTATTGTGTCTTAAAGACCCTGGCCCGCCCGCCCGCCATCTTGATGCGGTAGCGGGCCCCTTCTGACCACATTAATTTGGCCCACCGCTGGGTCCTCCCTCGCCGAGCCTGCCTCTCCGCCTCGGTCCTCACCGCATCTGGGCACTCCGTGAGGGCTATCTCCCGCCCGGCGGGCTCCACCGACACCGTCCTCCGCAAGGTGGGTCTCTTTGGTGCCTGGGCCTCCGGACACGACACCTGACGGAGCAGCTTCGGCGGTCGTGGCGGCGGTTGCGGCGCCGACGGCGGTGGCCCTTGCGGCAGCGGCGGCGTGCTCCTTGCCGGTGGCGACGGCGGCGGCCCTTGCGGCAGCGGCGGCGACGGCCCTTGCGGCAGCGGCGGCGTCGGCGACGGCAGTGGCCCTTGCGGCCGTGGTGGCCACACCCACGCCGGCGGAGGAGGCGGCGGCGATGACAGCTTCGGCGACGGCGGTGACAGCTTCGGCGACGGCGGTGGCGATGGCAGTTTCGGCGGTGGCGACGGCAGTTTTGGCGGCGGCGACGGCAGCTTCGGCGGCGATGGCAGTTTCGGCAGTGGCGACGGCAGTTTCGGCGGCGGCGACGGCAGTTTCGGCGGCGGCGACGGCAGCTTCGGCGGCGATGATGACGCCGACGACGACGATGATGCCGACGACGACGACGACGATGATGACGACGACGACGACGACGAAGATGACGACGCCGACGACGACCTTGGTGACGGCCTCCACAACTCGGCCTCCGCTTGCTGGAGTCGCACTTGCCACGCCTCCCACGCCGCCACCCTTTCCCTCTGCTGCTCCTGCAACCTCCGCAGCGTCCATTGGCGCCTGGCCATGATGGCTGCCACTTCCGCGGGGTCCCCCGACGGAGCCTCCGTTCCGCACCGGATGATGTCGCCACCCGCCACGGCCCGCCTGAGCTGCCTGTAGCTCCTCCCTGGCCTTTGCCGCCCGCCTGTCGTCGTCCTCGTCCGACGAGACCACGGGGGTCACAGTCTCCCCGCCGCTGTCCTCTTCCGTCGACGACAACTCCACCGTGACTATCTCCGCGGTGGGGCCGCCGTCGACCTCCTCGTCGGAGGACACCTCCCTCTCCGACATCTCGCACCAGGCCGGCGACGGGGACCGCGATACCAGCGGGGACGCCAGCAGCTGGAGGGCCGACGACGAGCGCCGACGCCCCCACTTCGCCCCTGGCTGTTGCCGCTGGTCGCGGCCCTCCGCGCCGACCTTGCGCTTGCGCAGCTGCTGCAGCGGCAACGGCTGCTGCTGTTGCTGTTGTTGCGGCTGCTGGTGCTGCTGCTGCTGTTGCTGTTGCTGGTGCTGCTGCTGCCGTTGCTGCTGCTGTTGTTGCGGCTGCTGGTGCTGCTGCTGTTTACGTCCGGCCATCTTGATCGTAATTTTTGAAAAGACCGAGTCTTCCCGCGTGGTTCCCCATGACACCTCGGTTTCCTCCTTTCCGCTGTGCCGTAAATTACAAATTACCAGGGAAATAAAATTAGTGATTGTGAATGGCCCGTCATATCTGGGGGCCAATTTCGCCGCGAAGCCTTCCACCGCTTTGGACAGGTGGTGCTCCTTGGCCCAGACCCTATCACCAATCCTTGGCGTCCATGGTCTCCTTCGCAGGTTGTAATGCCTTGCCTGATCTTGCGCTGCCTTCTCCATATTACGTCTGACGAGTTCGAAAATTTCCTACAGTTTTTGTGCATTTTCCTTCGGTGTTTGTCTCGCCTTTCCGGTCTCGATTGTGTGTTCGTCGAAAAGAGCTTTTGGCAGCCTAGGTTCTCGACCCTGGGTGACGAACACTGGTGAGTACCCGGTGGACTCCGCCACACTGGTATTCACTGCCAGCTGTAGTTCTGGCCATTTGTCGTCCCAGGTCCTCTGGTCGGCCCCCGCGAACTGGGCTATCATCGTCTTAACTGTTCTGTTTGCCCTTTCTGTCGGGTTTTCCTGAGGCGTGTATGGTGCAGTGAATTGGTGTCGCACCCCCAATTCTTCCAGAAATCTTTTAAACGCCCTGCTTGTGAATTGTACCCCGTTGTCCGTGATTAACACCTTAGGGACCCCGTACCGTGAGACGATTCTCTCCCTTATCGCCTTCTGTAGAGATTCCGTGGTCGCCTTCCGCATTGGCACCAACTCGGTCCACTTCGAGAATCAGTCCACCAGCACGAGCAGCATAGCATTGCCGAGTTTTGACCTCGGCAGTGGCCCGACGAAATCGGCACACACTCTCGCCCACGGCTCCTCGGGAATCTGCGTCAACATCTTGCCTGCAACCTGTAGCTGATTCGGCTTGTACTTCATGCAGCTCTCACAGCTACGCACGTAGTCTCTGATGTCCCTGTGCATGCCCGGCCAGTGGTACCTCGCAGCCACTCTCGCGATCGTTTTCCTGCTGCCCAAGTGACTGGCTGTTGGTGCGTCGTGATTTTCTGCTATCACCCTCTGCCTTGATCCTCTGGGTATGCATAGCTTCCACGCAACCACGTCCTCGTTCCCCGCCCTGTGGGGTATGTGGCGATACATCTGATCGCCTTCCAGCATGTAATACGGGTATTTCTGCGGGTTTTGCTCCACCTTGTTCCTCATCTCTGCTATCCAATCGCGTCCCTGTTCCGCTGTCTTCGGGTCTGCCTTCTTTGTCTTCATGCGGCGGCATTCCGCTGGCAATGGCTGTCTTGACAGGGCATCCGCCACGACGTTAAGTTGGCCTTTCCGGTAGGATATCTCAAAATCATATTGCTGGAGTTCCAGTGCCCATCTTGCAATCCTTCCCGACGGGCTCTCTATGCTGTTGAGCCACTTCAGTGCCATATGATCCGTGATTACCTTGAAGTGGTATCCCTCGAGGTATGGTCGCAACTTTCTTATGGCCCATACAATCGCCAAGCATTCCTTTTCCGTTGCGGAGTAATTCCTTTCCGCTCCATTTAGGGAGCGACTTGAATACGAGATTACTCTCTCGCCTTGGTCCGAATGCTGCGTGAGTATGGCGCCGAGCCCGTAGTCGCTGGCGTCTGTTTGCAGGATGAACGTCTTCGTGAAGTCTGGGCATGCCAGGATTGGGTCTGCGACCAGCCTGGCCTTGACCGCCTCAAACGCTTTCTGGTGGTCGTCGGTCCACTCCCATTTCACCTTCTTTCGGAGTAGGGCATTAAGCGGCTGGACTAGTGTGGCGAAGTCGGGTACAAAACGTCGGTACCATGATGCCACTCCCAGGTATTGCCTCAGCTCCTTGACGTTGGCTGGAGGTTCCAGCAACGCTATCGCCGCCACCTTCTCCGGATCAGTTCCAATTCCTTGGTCGGTGATGCGATGTCCCAAGTACTGCAGCTCCTTTCTGAAGAACTTGCACTTCTCCACGTTTACTTTTAGGTTCGCTGCTCTCAGTCTTCGGAACACTTCCCTCAGGTTTCTTTTATGCTCCTCCAGCGTCCGTCCGATGACGATAATATCGTCTTGATACGCAAAGGCGTGCGGCATCATCTCAGGCCCTATGACCTGATCGAGCGCCCTTTGGAACGTTGCCGACGCTGAGTGCAGCCCGAATGGCATCACCTTCCATTGGAACAGTCCTTTTCCTGGGACGGTGAACGCGGTATACTGCCTGCTCTTCTCTTCCAGCGGTATCTGCCAGTATCCATCCTTTAAGTCCAGGCTGCTGATGTACCGTGCCTCCCTTAATTGATCCAGTATGTAATTGATCATAGGCATCGGGTACGCATCCTTTACCGACTTTGCGTTGATTTGTCGGAAATCTACGCACAGCCTCCATTTTCCCGTCTTCTTCTTTACCATGACGATTGGAGAGCTGTACGGGCTTCTTGACGGCTCGATGCATCCTTTTTCCAGCAGCTCGTCTACCTTTTCGTTTATTTCCCCCTGCATTTTTGGGGTTTTTTGGGTAGTACCGCTGCTTCACTGGCTGGTCGTCCTTCATCGTGATCTTGTGGACGGCTATGTTTGATACTCCGCTTGACTCTTCTAGAGCTTTCAGCTCCTCCTTCAGGAGTTTGGCGATGTCCTCTTCCGAAAACTGTTCTGGTGTTTCTACCACTGCTACCGACAGTCTTTCTTCCAGCATTCCTAGTCTGCGCTTCCTTGCTGGTATCGCCACCTCGAGTCCTGCGCATTTTACCTCCGCTCCTATTTTTGTGAGGAAATCCCAACCCAATACTATGGCGTCTATCACTCTTGGGAGGATTAGTAACTGCATCAACACCTGTCTCGTCCCGAGACCAACCACTATCTCCAGCTGTGATTGGATGCTCCCGCATCTTCCGTCTGCCATGCGCACCTGCCTTCTCGTTGGTACGACCTTACCGGCGGCCTGCAGCCTGTCCGCCAACTCTTCGCTTATAAAGCTTGCCGTGGCGCCAGTGTCCACCGTGGCCTTCACTTTTCGTTTGTTTATGAGCACAGTGGCGGACAGCTGCATCTCTTCCGCCTTCAGATCGCCCATTAGTTTCGAGAGGCAGCACCTTGCGATCCCTGGCCGCCCCTCGGTGGCTGATGTCGCTTGGCGTTTCCCGCTCGTGCGCAGCATTCTCCGTTTATGACGCCTATCTTCCCGGGCTTTTGTGACGTTTTCCTGCTCGAACCGTTCCCTCTGCTGGTCGAGCTCCTCAAATTCGTCCGCTAATGCCATCAGGGTATCCAGGTTCTGGCACCTGTAGGGGCGGATAAACAGCCGTAGTGTCGGGGTGCTGTTTTCCTTAATCCGCTCCAAGATTTCGTCCTTGTTCAAGCCCAGGGGTCGCATCAGTGTCTATATGTCTACCATGTAGTCCTTGAAGCTTTCGCCGTAGTTTTGCTTCCTCTGCCTGACCTGATCTGCGAGTTTGTTCATGAACCCCCTGGAAAAGAAGCTCTGGAAGCTTTGGCTAAATCCGCCTCAGGTCTCCCAGAACCTGTTGTTGGCGATGAACCATTTGAGCGCTCTACCCTGAAGCAGTTCCGGCATTGCCCTCGGGATTTGGTTTATGTCTAGCCCGTATGTCATGGCCGACCACTCCACTTGTTCGAGGAACTCCAGGCGCTTCTCATTCCCGTCGTAGCGGAAACTCCACTCCCTGACTTGTTTTGTGACTTTGGCATAATCCTGTCCTGGTCTGCCATTTTCCTCGCGTTGTTCGCGGTTGACGCTCTTTCTCTCCCTGCTGTTCTCCCGTCGGTCGCGGCTGCTGCTCCTGCCGGCGTTCTGCATGCTGCTCACGTCCAGGCTGCGCACCAGGCCCTCGGCTCCGGTGACTTTCAGGCCGACCGACGGGTATTTGGCTTAATCCCTTTCCAGGGCCGCCAGAATTGCCAGCGCTTCATGATCATGTTCGGAGTGGTCGATGAATTCGGTCAGTGTCCGCCTCATTTCCTCTACGAGGCCCTCTAGCTCGATGCCTAGGGCGCTTGCGATCGCCGGGAAATCGTCCTTTTTAAGGTTGTATAACCAGGACTTCCCCCATTCTATACCTATTCTGGTCTCTTTGGTCTGAGTATCACGCTTGGGCGCCAGATGTAACGAACTGCTTTTTTATGTCTCCGCTCGCTACGTAAACGTGCGGCTAGCTCAGTTGAGTTTGTGCGTTCGTCCCACCAAATTTATTGTTTCGTGACCCCGAGACCAAAGAAGAACGCAGAGTTAGGTTAGATTTAGAATATGTGTTGGGTTTATTGCTTGTGGATTTACAGCTTGGTATTGATTCGTGGATCTGCTGCCTGACGACTCGCTCTCCCTCGTTGACGCTGGTATGGCTCCCGCGTCGACTCTACGGCGGCACGCCTGTCGCGCGTCCTCTGCCTTGCCGAGTCTTTTGGGCACCGGCCGCGTACTAGGCTCGCTACGAGCCTCTCACAACCTTGGAGGATGTTAAGCAGAACCTCCCTAGCGGGGCTAAGCAGTGATGCCTGCAGTCACCACTCTTCGCTCCACCCCGGAGTTCGTTCGGGACTTCGTCGGCCTGGCCCTCAGCAGGTCCTCACTCTCGTGTGGACCGACACCGGGTACCTTTCGCACAACTCCACTGGATCTTCGTCGGTCTGGCCCTCAGCAGGTTCTCAGGTTGGGTTGAGGCAGTTTCGGCGGAAGTGTCCGTTCT